TGAGGCAAAGAAATACCAAAGGACTAGGAGATAAGTTAAAATAGTTCTTGCATTTGCTGTTATCTCTCCTGAGTACTCGCTGAAATTATTCTTCTTCAATTTTGCTTCACTTTATTCCTTCAGCTTTTTTTTTTTTTAAACTGGGGAAAAACTTTCCAGAAATATTCTAATACAGTAATTTCAATCAGCTTTCCAGACCATTCTATAAAAGACTTTCCAGGAAAAAAAAAATAGATAAAATAGAAAGATTCATATTCTACACAAACACTACTTGACTAGCATGAATGTTAGATTTGTAATGACATATTTCATATAAGTAATTAAAAAGTGCAAATATCAAGAAATAACAATAATTTACCAATGTCTTTGTTCTGAAAGACGATGGCTTCAAAGAATGCCACAATTTAAAACCTCAGCAATGCCTTGTTGTAAAAACATTGTAATTATTTTCAATTTGTGAATGAACTATGTTTCATAATTTTCTTGTAAATTAACAAAACATAAAGCATAAAAAAGAGGGTTTTTTTTAGAGAGAGAGAATATTAATCTGTATGATATTTTTGCACAAAAGAGCAAAGAGTTATAAATGAATATCACTTAAGGAAAAGAAGTATCTTTTGATTATACTGTGCAGATTGATGTGCATGTTTGTGAATGAGCCTAACGATAAAGTATGTTTGTGTGTATGTGTATCTTTGTAAATATAGAAAATATATATAGCACATATTTATAACATTCATGGATGTAAATATGTAGTAGAAAAGAAATTGTGATGCTGTGGGAGTATTATCAAGATTCTGTTCCCATAGAAATGGGAAAGTGGTTTTTCAAGGCTTTTCTCTGCCCACAGAGTCACATTTAATTTCTACTAAATTTTCATAGTTTTATTTCTTTTATTATGTCTGTTATGTGTAAATATCACTGTGGCTGAAATTTATGGGGTTAAGTGGTCTGAATAGTATCAAGACAAATTGCTTAATTATTTGGCAATCTATTATTTTGGTATTTATGTAAGAACAACTATTATTGATTTATAAACATAACTTTAATTCAGATACTTCCATGTTTATAAGTATAGATAGAATTACCTGCAATTATTCACGACACTTATATTTCAAATACATTATAGCCCAATTAAAATTACATAAAAGAACAGATGATGTATGCCCAAAAGATGAAGTTACAATTAGCTTTGTTAGAGTTTAACTTAGGATTTTTGTTTAGTTTTACAATTCACATGGAAAAATGCAGACAGATCATTCTAAAGAATGCCTGTACCAAAAGAACCTGAAAGAGATCTTTGTAGAAGGAAGCTAAAAGATAGGCTTATGTTTAAATAGCTAGATTCAGTCCTTCACTTCCATAACGGAATGTTAAAATATTAACCTATGATACTATATATTGGAGAGAAAACAACATGGTCTTTGAAAATATTTATGAGAATATAACTTGTGGCAATTCATTTCTGTTTATTTGATGCCATAATTAGGAATGATTTTTTAATCACTGAAAATCTAAATTATATAATACAGGTATTTTGTGTATATACAGTTATACTAAATTTATGCAAGGATGTAGTTTTGTACTGAAAGAATAACTACTAACTCTCATTTTAGGTGGCATTTCTTTGTAGACATGTTTGTACAATACAGAGTTATAATATATCAGTAAGATGTTTTAATGCCTTTTGAAATAATAACGAAATTATGCATAAAGGACAAAAGCAGGCACATGACTGCTTTGACATAGAGTTAAGAAGAGATGCTATCATCACAGTTATCCAAGTAGTCTACAATGTATTTAACCAAATATAGATACATCTTTAATTATTTTAATATTTAGCCCAACAACTCAGGACTCAGTTATTTAGAATGACTTATTTGGGATGTGCAGTGATTCTTTTTGAGGTAAGTAGGGGAAGTTAGGAAGACATTTGTCAAGTACTTGAAAATTAAATTTTCAAAAAACTTTGAACTTTGAACTAGAATGTTTTAAGTGACTACATTACAGTTTTAGTATGAGCCTACCCTTGGGAAAAAGTAATGTGATACTAAATTAGAAAAAAAAATGTGACACTAATGTGGTGGTGTGCCATGAGACTAGCTAAAAAAGGTCCAGTAATTATAAGCATAAAGAAGTGAACTCTGTTTAAAAAATTTTCAACATGTGTGTATGTGTCTCTACACATACATATATACAGTTGTTTAGAAGTGGAACACGGTATGATAACTCTGTTGATTTGTCTGTGTAATAAATGGTGTGCTTTGAAACTTACATATGGTGTGAACATTCTTTCTATCACAGTACAGGAAATAGTCCCTTCTCCCTATAGCTAGATGAATAATTGTACAGTTCTGAGACTGGCAGGGGACAGGATGCTGTGAATGAGGCAGAGGGAGTCCCAGCTAGAGGATATGAAATTAAGAAATGGTATTTAGTTTTTCCTAGTTGACATAATTTGGAAAGATTAAAGTATGTTCAAATATAGACAGGAAGTGGTTAAGGATACAGAATAAAATGAGCATGATAAAAGAAGGTGAGATCCTTGAGGCAGGAGGAAATAAGATACAAATCATAGGAGATAGAATTAACTATAGATAGCATTGAGATTGCAGATCTCACAAATGAATCCTTCGGCTGAAATATTTAGAGAACTTGGCTGACCTATTTGGATTTGTCACATTGGTTCCTACTGGCATTTGGGTTGGACAGTAATTCATTGTGCAGACTGTATTATGCATTTCAAGCCGTTAAGCATCTCGGGCCACCACCCACTAAATGCCTGGAGGACACTTCAGTTGTAACAATAAAAAATATCCCAACAAATTTACACCTCTCTAAATTAGGGAAGTGAAAGTGAAGTCGCTCGGTCATGTCCAACTCTTTGCTACCCCATGGACTGCAGCCCACCAGGCTCCTCCATCCATGGGATTTTCTAGGCAAGAGGACTGGAGTGGGTTGCCATTTCCTTCTCCACGGGATTTTCCCANGGACACTTCAGTTGTAACAATAAAAAATATCCCAACAAATTTACACCTCTCTAAATTAGGGAAGTGAAAGTGAAGTCGCTCGGTCATGTCCAACTCTTTGCTACCCCATGGACTGCAGCCCACCAGGCTCCTCCATCCATGGGATTTTCTAGGCAAGAGGACTGGAGTGGGTTGCCATTTCCTTCTCCACGGGATTTTCCCAACCCAGGGATCGAACCTGGGTCTCCCGCATTGCAGGCAGATGCTTTACCCTCTGAGCCACCAGGGAAGCCCCAAATTAGGGAAGTATCACCCCCTAATTTAGAACCACTGAGGAGCACCCATGAATATGATCCCAAGCAACCAATGTTAGTGCTGCCCACAAGTGTAGACTTGAATTGCTCAGGGCCATAAATGCACTGTTCTAAGGTTTACTATGATATCTGATACAGTAGCCTCAATCCTATCCACATGTATTTACATTTAGATATAAATTAATTAAAACAAAATCAAATAGTTTCTCAGTTGAGCTAGTCATAGTCCAAGTGCTGAAGAGCTATATATGGACTACAGTTATGGAATATTTCCATCATCTCAGAAATTCCTACTGGACTGAGTTAGTCAAAAGCACTCAGAGAACTGGTCCTCACCCTCAGTAGTTAAAAATTTCTTCCATGGTCAACCAATTATCATTACAATAGAACGTGAAAAGGGTAAACACTCTTTGAAATTTGGTAAACACTCCATGAAATTTGAAGTTGGTGAACTGGTTAAATCCAAAGACTGAACGAAACTAGCCAAAATACAGTGTAAGTCAAACACATAGTGAAGCTGAGAAGTTGTGGTAGAGATGTAACGTTTTAAAAAAATCTGTTCACACAATGATTCCACTAATTCATTCAATATTTTATATTTGACAGATAAAATAAGATATTGTGTGACTCCTGTTCTTGAAGAAATTGACTCAGCTCCTCACAATGCATCGCTGACAAATTCTACATTTCTTGGGCTTGAGAAGGTGAGAACAATAAATTGCTCTCCACTGTTTTCATTGACTTAGCTGGAAAGCAGCATGATTAGAACTGCATTTTCAAACATTATTTAGCGAACACATTTCAGAAACTTAGAGAGAGCATCTTAAGTACCATTTGGTTAGAACACAGTTTCCAAATACAGTTTCAGAACTTGGCATCACTTCACTCTTTTTCTCCCTTAAATCATTTTTCTGAAAACATATGTAATATTTCTTACTCAAAGTATCTGACAGCCAAGAAATTCAATTATTCCAAGTCCATAAATCACAGGTTGTCAGTTACTCATAGCAGAGGAAACTAATTCAGAAATTGCTGGAAATGTGGATGCCTACTAAAGTATTTTTTAAAACTTTTTTTCCCAGGAAAATTATCTACTGAATACATAATCTCTTATTGGAGATGTATTTCCCAAGAAATATATTGTGAAAAGTCAAATTCTAGATCTAAAAAAAAATGTATTGCGCTATTTTAATAGTTTAGAATTATCTGCATCAACTAATTACAGGTAGGTCACAGTCATTTAATTAGGAATTTTTAAAACTAGGAACATTTTTCACTTTCTTTTTCATGAACTGAAGACTTAGTGATTTCAAAGGTTTTCCTACCTTAACATCCAAAGACTCTGCTTCTCTTGCCACACAAGGTGCTGCAAACTCTGCCCCCCCCCCCAAGCCAAAATGTATTGTGTTCCTAAAAATTGCTAGAGAGACTCTGGGAGCTTCCCAGAAAAACCCCAAATCTTGTCAAATTTGCATTGTCTCTTGTTGACTATTTTATTAATCCATCAGGATATTGGTCCCCACCTACTCACTAAGACAGAAGACCTCAGTCGTCCTTCAACAACATCTGGAGCTGGGGCTGGAAGAAATCCCTTGGGCCCTCTGCGCTTACTGCCCAGGAAAGAGGAGCCAGAGTTTCCTCTGTGGGTGGCTGGGTGAGCCAGCGCTGCCCCTCACTCTGGCTCTAAGGTCAGGGAGCCAAGGAAGGAGGTAACACTGAATCTTATTCCCATAAACGGACTCCAAGTGCTCCAGGCCGCTAGAGGTCCACTGCCCCCATCACCATCCCCAAAGCTTTTTATGATTGGGACATGTCTTTTTTCTGTCCTAAGTATATTAATACTTTCACGTAAATATCTGAAAAAATAGAAAAGAATGAAAGAAAGGCGCTGTGTCCTTTATAGTACAACAGATTGCAGGAAAGCATATCAGGTTTTCAAGTCCTGATAGGCGATGTTAGCATATTGCTATCTGTGAGTGGTGCAGCATTTCTGAAGTGTTATTATACTGTCCATTGTCTATAAATGTGAATATTCCTCTATCGTACTAATGGTATTTATTTAAAATAAGGAGAAGGAGGGAAGACATCAATATTGCACCTGATAGGTGAGGTCATTTCTGGCTGTACCTATGAATCTTAGTCCTTCAACCAAATCATGCAACTTGTATACACTTAGGTCTAAAATCCAAACCACAAGTCCACCCCATAGGAACCACTCCCCTTGACTTGTTCTGCTGCTTCTGATTTCGATCCAAGTATCTGCTCTGTGGTGCTGCGGTGCTTTCAGTTTCTGGCTCCTGCACTAGGCCCTGAGACTTTATCTCTCTGGTTGTCAAGCTTTGACTTCACTCTCAGCAAACAGGACTTCAACAACACTAGGTTCCTGGCAAACAAGCATGTGCTCAAACTGAGAACAGGAATTCAGAGGAAGGATCTCAGGTAAATAAAGGGAAAGCTTGAGTTCTCTATACCTTGAATATAAAAAGGTTGAAAAAATCTACGTGGTTGTCGCAGACAGGCAGGGAGCTAGCTGTCAGTGAGAAACCAAGGTGAGATCATTTCTGCTCTGCCCCACCATCCCCAAGCTCCATAACAGGATTGGACCAGTAGTCTCTAAAGAAAACGAATTTGAAAATGAACAGAAGTCTGCTTTTATATATTAGTTCTGTTCATTTCTTGTACTTTCTTTTTCAGTCTCTAGTTTGGCCCACTCATCTGCACCAAAAAATATCAAAGAAGTTTTATTCAAGCAGAGCTAACACTATCAGTAAGTATCATTCTAAAGCCAATATGGTGCATGACAATAGGAATCACAAGGAGCAATGTCAAGGGAAAGTGAGACACAGGGGAGAGAGTTGCTTTCCATGGGTCCTTTATCCTCCTCACCCGAAAATACCCATTTTGGTGTGAATTTTGGAGTTCCAGAGTTTTATTTTACTGACAAATGTGGCTTTTATGTACTGTCTTCCCTTGTAAATTCTGCACACTGTTGCATTTTTTCACAAGTGGGAAAGTCCACTTTGTCACCGGATAAAGATAAATTCACTACTTTAATAATTTGCAAAGAGCACAAAAGTATCAAGAGCATCTTGTAGTCATAAGAGGAAGTGGAGAATATGATCCGTTAGTATGCATTTTGTATAATGACTTGAGAGTATATTCTATATTAAAATGTATCGTGTTTAAATTTCATTTTATCTACATTCCACTCTCAAATTTCCACACCAGGCTCTTTGGAATATATTTAATGTCTAAGATCTGCAAGTTCTCACCTACACAAACTCTGCAGCCAGCAAGTGGTTTATTAAACTACAGCTTTAAGGTACCACTCAAACAGAAAGGGAAACTGTTTTCTTTATGTTCTGCAGGGAGCTAAAGACAGATGGAAGTAGATAATTTCCATGGACACCCTTGCAATCACCATGATTAATTTTATTGGCCAGATTCCTCAGATTTGAAAGCCTTGAAGAGAGGTGTTGAAACTGTCACAGTAACATATAATTAAGAAGGAAATAGAGCCTTAAAAGAAATACTGACTCTCCTCTCATAAAAGGATACTTAGTAAGTTATTTAAAGAAGACACCAAATCCTCAGAAGGTAACCCAGCCTTTCTGATACCTTCTTAACCTCTTCCCAATGGTCACCAGTGCACACAGCTACACATGTACACCCACATGCACAAATGCATGCCCTGAATTAATTAATTAAGCCAATCCTTTTTAACTAGAATGTTTCATCTAGCCTTCCTGGTAATGACTGATAGATACCTAGATAGGTAAACTTGCAACCTCAGGTAGGTGAAGCTAAAAGATTTGTATGATTTTATAATTTTACCTAAGTCCATATTTTAAAATTCACATTTAAACAAATACACACATACATATTACACATATGTATACAGAGAGGAAATTCTAACATACATGTCCCTAGATAATAGTCAGAATATCTGAACTATGGCCAGGAGATTAAGCATAAAGATCAGGATGTTTTGACACTATTATATTTGTTACCACAAAAGTCAGACACAAATAATTACATTTTCTAGAGAATAAACCTAAATTCTTTTGGTATAAGAAATGCTTGGAAATTAAGTCATGGCTTCTAACCTTCTGAGTCATGTTCTTTATTTGTCAGACTATACTGTGTTTGAGCACTAAATAAAAGAAAGAAATAATCAACTACATTGTTGATTATTACTGTATTTACATCAATTATACCTGAACAAAAGTCATAAATTCAGAGTTTCTCTTCTGTATTTCAAGCTGCTTTAGAGGCTTTGGTTCTCATACTTCAGCAGGTATTATGATCACCTGGGCTTCATCCCAGAATTGTGATTTTACTTAGGTCTGGGTGTGGCCTAAGAACCTGCACATCTACCTCTCAGGGGATGTAGCTGTTGCTGGGCCAGGGACCTGACTTTGAGGGCCACCAATAAAATGTAACCTCATTGAAGCAGTCAGGACTTACCTTTTAGGCAGATGTATTTGAGTCATTGCATTTCTACGTATTTCAGTAATAGCTATAGCTTGCCAAATATAAAATCAATTATATTCAATAAAAAGTAATGAAATGTGCTTTATTTCTTTTTCTTCACTGCAAGCACAGTGTACATTTGTTAGTTCAACAATCTGAGAAGCCAGAAGGAAGGGCTTTCAGAGTCAAAACCTGACCCTCCATCCTTTATTGAAGGATTACAGGTAAAAACCTGCTGTCAATAAATAGTTGCCTTTGTTTTTGCCATTCCTACAGTACTTTGGGCTAAAGCAAAACTTTTATAAACTTAAAGCTCATGATTGCCATCTGCTGACACATGTGTGAATTACAAGCAGTACTGCATAGTTGGTATATACTGTGTTCAGATTTGGGTGTTTTGTGTCTTCCTTTCCAAAACCCATTATGTAGATTTTATATCTGACTTTATACATGTATTTTCCCTAAAAGTAATGTATTTCATAATTTACTGAACAACTAAAATAAAACTGTTTACCAAACTGAACACATTCATTTCAAACAGCTAGTCTGTACTGAAACTATTTTAATTTTTCCTATTAACAAAGTGAAATTATAAATTTGTCATCTCAGTATACATAGTTCATATCTAGAGTGAATTTTATCAATAGATTTTGTTAAGAGGATACATGTAAATCTTTAATTGCTTTACCCTGAATCAAATGTTTATGTTATTAGATTGCTTATCATGGCAGTATATTGAAGAGGAGCTGAAATTAATCATGCTAACACCAAAAAAAAAACACCACACACACATATATATACATATATACATATATATATACGTATATATATATATATATATTTCTAGCAATGGAACCAAGGCATTTTCCAGTTTTTAGTCATAATCTTTTCCAAATTTTCCTCTTTAGTGCTGGGCTTTGGATTGCTATTCATTCAAAAAGATCATAAGCTTCCGCTCCTACGTTCAGCTTTACAATCTTAATGAAACTGAATCAAGCGTATTAAACTGAAGTGTCAGTCAAGGACTCAAAAAAGAATCACTTAGTATAAACACTGTGCTTGGTACTGCACTGTCATTATCTCCTTTAATCCACACAACTTTCCATACCTTTACAGTACAAATTAGGAAGCTGAAGTTTACAAAGGCTAGACACGTGGTCGAAGGTCACAGAGCAAAGGCTGATGCCTAAAACAGCCTGACTGTGGCATCTGGCTCCTGCAAGCCAGGCCATTTTGCCTGAATTATTTTCTGCCAGACTACCGCTTCCAATACTTTGGCCAAGACCAGTGCTCCTTTGACATCTTCCCAAGTCTGTTAAGATGGTGGTATTTATACCACTTTGATGGTTTTAGGCAGAGGATAAGTAAAATAAGCAACCCATTTTACTGACTCATGATTTCTTCCTTTATCAGCATTGGTATGTGGCTAGGAAAAGTGAGGATTTTTAGTAATTCAAAGCATGAGTTGTGAACTAAGTCATGCCTGGGTTAGAGTCCTTAACTGATTGACACCTCTGCCTCCTTAGGAAAGTGAATCGTTCACTCGAGAAATACATTCTAGGCAGTCAGTTTGACTCCCTTTAAAAAAGAAAGAAAGAAACATGACTTTTAGCACCCAGGCTTTTCACCTTGCACTATATTAAATCATCTAAAAATAAAGCGTTTCTTGTAATAACCAAAATCTTCAACAACAGGAGGGATCTCATGGTACTTGTTTTTTCTCTTCCCTGGGGTGGTGCGTAGAACAGGTTAATTTGGGAAAGTCACTCCATGATGGTGAACATTTACATGCAGGCTGAATCACTCTTTTATCCTTTGAAATCATGACACGTGTGGATGGTGGCTAACAGTCAAAGCAGATTTAAAAGACTAAAAACTAAAAAAGTTTTCGAAGTCAAATGAGAAAATTGCCTTTAAATATCCAAAGAGTTAGAAAATTACTTCATATTTTACATTTGTGTAAAATCATTACCAGAGTAGTTGATTTCGGGTAAGTTTTGTTTTGACTTAATTGTTCTGATGTCCAACTGGTTTTTTTGTTTTGTTTTTTGGTTGTTGTTATTGTTGATTCACTAAATTGTGTTTGGAAAAATTGTTTTTATTCATGTTTTATCATCTGCAGACAATCTAGGTACATCTTCACTTCAAAGAGAGGTTTTGACCAAATTGCTCCGGAATGCCCCCTAGGCATCAGGGGCTTTTAAGGTTCTGCCAGGTTGAGAAAACTGAACTACAGAGTCTAACACAGGGAGGCTACAGGGCTTTGCAACAAAATCAAGGTAAAGGCAAGGTAATCATCTGCAAACTTAACATATTTACCACTGGGCTTTGGGAGCAGTTTTATCCCATTCTCATCTCATGCTAAATTTGGAGTCAGTTAAAAAGTACTAAAGAAAATGCTTTTTATTTACCTTATTTAAACCTTTTATAATGTCTATAGTATACTGATTTTACAAGTGGGAAACAGGTATCAAGAGATTAGACATTTTCACAGTACCTAGGGCACATGGGAGGGTGTTGTACTCATACCACTAATTGATATACATTTTTCTTGGCACTTACGCATCTAATACATGTTTATGCCTAGATCCTATTTCATCACCGGTTATTTTATTCATTCATTTATGCATTTATATATTCATTCATGCATTGTGTCAACAAGAAATTAACAGTAGATCTAAGGAAGAAATGGAAACTTTTTTTCAGGCCAATTTGAGGTTTATAAACCTGGGAGACACCTTTCAGAAAGCTCTGAGTGTTGGGGCCAGTGTGAGGAAAGCAGGAGAGACTCCATCTTGAAGGCTGTCATCCATCTTACAGACAGGATGTGAACTGGGCCTGAACCCTGCCCAAGAGTGAGGAAACCACTGCTAGTGAAAACCAGGTCTCCTGGAGACTTCCTTCCCTATAGATGGCAAACGGAGATTGTAGTTGAGGTCAGGCTGCCCCTATTAGATTAACCATGGAGACATCCCCCCCTTGATGTATAATCATTTTTCCCCCCGCCTTTAACCATAATTGATTGTTCTCCTAGCACCTACTTGTTGTAAAACTCAGTCATATACAACAAAGAGGTTGCTCACAAGTAACCAGTCACGTGGGCAGGGTGGGAAACTGGGCTCCTCAGAAACATCAGGGTCCTTGTTGGGAACTGATTCCCCTTGGACTCACTGGCCTAATAAACTGTACTCCATTGTGTTTTGCGACTCTGGATTCCACATGAGGACTGGTCTACCTGTTGAGGGCAAAGCACAATTATATACTATATGTTTTTGAGACAAAGGGTTATACATCAGATGATGCGCTGACAGTTTATACAGTCCAGATATGCACTTTCAAAGTGTGTAGGGAGTCATCATGGCCCCTTACCGGATTAGGGTGGAAGGTTAGCTCCTAAGGAGGTCTGGTTACTGTGCCTGCACAATACTCGCTAAAGGGGAGGNCTATATGTTTTTGAGACAAAGGGTTATACATCAGATGATGCGCTGACAGTTTATACAGTCCAGATATGCACTTTCAAAGTGTGTAGGGAGTCATCATGGCCCCTTACCGGATTAGGGTGGAAGGTTAGCTCCTAAGGAGGTCTGGTTACTGTGCCTGCACAATACTCGCTAAAGGGGAAGGAGGAGCCCAAACCAGCAGAGCAAATTCTTATGTTTAAATTTTCCTTGTCATAAAGTATGAGTTTTCTTTTTTTTCTGAGTCAAAAGGGGGCTGCAGTGGTGAACTAGACTGATAGCAGGGTCCCAATCTTAGTGAGCTGGGGTCTATGGACGGCACAGGAGGAAGACCAGGCAATTAACATAAATTAACATGCAACAAGAGCTTGAAGGTGGTAATTTACAAAGATGGAAAGCTGCCTGACCTTTAGGTGGGGAGAGAACCAGGGCGGTAGTAAACTGTGTGGGGGGGCGGGAGTGGAGTGGGTGGGGTGTCACTGTTTCCCTGGTGGTTCACTGGTAAAGAACCTCCTGCCCATGCTGGAGACTCCAGTTGGATCCCTGGGTTCAGAAGTTGGGAAGATCCCCTGGAGAAGGGAATGACAGCCCACTCCAGTATTCTCGCCTGGGAAATCCCATGGACAGAGGAGCCTGGCGGGCGACAGTCCACGGGGTTAGCAACACAACAACAACAACAACAAACTATGCAGAGGAAACGGATGTGAAATCTAAGCTGAAATTTAACACAGGAGTAGGGTTTTCCCATATGAGAGAAGCTACCCTGTTCCCAGACAGAAGGAACAGCGTCAGACTGAAGAGCAGGAGAGGAAGAGGGGGAGGAGGGGAAAGGATGAGAGAGGTAGTGGGGAGGGCAGAGGTGGGCTGAAAGTGGCTCAGGGAGCATGGGTGTGCCTAGCTGAGTGTG